AGCTCGGAAGTGGGGGGGGGTCTCAGGACAGGACGGCTCTGGGAGTCAAAGGACGGACAGAATCGGTCTCAGAATCGGACAGCTCTGCAGTGGGGTGGGGGTCTCAGCAGAGCTGCCCGCGGGCTGGGGTGGGGGGCGTCGCCCAGGCCCCCCCATCGGCAAAGGCAGCCCCGGCGTACAGGGGACTCCCTTCCCTAAATCCCAGCTGTCCTCCCTGGGATCACGGTGGTGGCTGTCCCCTCTGAGGCGCGAGATGCCTGCAGTCAGGGGGAAGGCTGCAATTCTGGCCCCTGGGTGGAAAAAGGAAGCTTTTCTCTCTCGCAGATTCTCTTCCCCAGTAACCTTTCCAGAGCCGAGCCCTGGAGTCCCACTGTTGTCACACAACAGAGAAGGACCCACCTGAGAAAGGACATCACGCAGGATGAAAAAATATGGGGAAGTCAGAGGACCCCTGTCCCGGGCGGGAGTGACTGCGCTTCAGACACACAGTGGGGACACAGGTCAGGGCCCTTGTCCCGAGAACATTTCTTTCTTTCTTTTCTTTTTTTTTTTTTTTTGAGTTGGAATCTCACTTTGTTGCCCAGGCTGGAGTGCAGTGACACACTCCCGGCCTCCACAGTCTCCACCTGCTGGGCTCAGGAGATCCTTCTGCCTCAGCCTTCCAAGTAGCCAGGACTGCAGGCGTGCACCATCATGCCTGGCTAAATTTTTGATTTTTTGTAGAGACGAGGTCTCACCAAGTTGCCCAGGCTGGATCCTGAGAACATTTCAAGGAGCAGGTGGTATGGGCATTCCTCCAGGTGTGATGGCTGGCCTAGACCCCTCCCTGGGCTTTTCACTAGTGGAAAAAAGGGTTTTTTTCCACTAGTTGTAGATACATTTTTTTTCAGTAAATATAACGTATGTTTAATAACTAGAGCCTTTGTTTCTCATGGAGCATATGTGGTAAGTTTCTCAGGTCTGTTCTTCATTCTTTTTCTTCTTTTTTTGTTAGTTTTTCAGGTGTGTTCTTTTTTAATTATTATAAAGATATGGGGTACAATTCAGGGTTAGGTATACAAACATTGATTATGCAGGTACCTACCTTCAGGTATGTTCTTTTGATGGCTAACACATGGGATCCAGGCTTAGCCTTGAAGATGTTACTGCAAAGCATCTCAGAGAAACAGAGAAAATCTCTTCCATTTTGCAGAGAAACCAATACATTTCCACAAAAATGCATTCCAGGGAAATACCCGTAGTTCTTGGCAGCTGAAGGATTTGTGATAGTGGGTGATTCTGTTTTGTTTTTAATTATCTGCAGTATCCTTTCCATAAACCTGCAATACAGTCTTTATGGCTCGTGAAATAGAGGAGAATACAACTAAAAACAATGTAGGTAACAATTTGTCGCTGCCCTGTGTCTTGAAGCGAGTGTCATCCGTGACTGCCCTGTGTGCCTGTCCTGGCACTGATCAGACCCCTCCAGACATGCAGGCCTCAGGACTCCCTGCCTCTCCTTTGAATTAGCTGGCCGTCCGCTGCAAATACTGGCATGGATGGGTTACTAGACTTTAAAATTCTCGTTGAACGTGAAGTAAACCCCAACTGTGCTTCAAGATGTTTTGTCTGAGCCAGGCTCGGTGGCTCAGCCTGTAATCCCGTGCCTTGGGAGACTGACCTGAGTGGATTGCCTGAGCCCATGGGTTCGAGACCTGCCTGGGCAACTTGGCGAGACCTCATCTCCACAATAAATCAAAAACTAGACAGGCATGGTAGCACGCCTGTAGTTCCAGCTACTTGGAAGGCTGAGGCGAGAGGATCGCCGGAGCCCAGCAGGTCGAGGCTACGGTGGCCGGGAACGGCCACTGCACTCCAGTCTGGGCGACAGAGTGAGACTCCGACTCAAAAAAAAAGAAAACTCTAAAGTCAATGCATATGATTTACCTATAATCACCTCAAGAGTTGTCAAAATCTACATGCATCCCCAACAGGGATACATTAAGAAAACAAAAATAAATTCTTGAGGAATAATGATAATGTGCATAACTGGATAAAGGTCAAACTGATTTTTAAGTGTTCAAAAAAGAATAATATGGCTTTCCGTGAGACGTAGCGCGGAGCGACCCAGCCAGCAAGCGAGATGCCGGTGGCCGTGGGCCCCTACGGACAGTCCCAGCCTAGCTGCTTCGACCGCGTGAAGATGGGCTTTGTGATGGGTTGCGCCGTGGGCATGGCGGCCAGGGCATTCTTCGGCACCTTTTCCTGTCTCAGGATCGGAATGCGGGGTCGGGAGCTGATGGGCGGCATTGGGAAAACCATGATGCAGAGTGGCGGCACCTTTGGCACATTCATGGCAATTGGGATGGGCATCCGATGCTAACCATGGTTGCCTACTATATCTACACCTTCCCATCAGCCCCAGCCCATGTACTATAATAAAACAAAGTCTGTAAGTAAAAAAAAAAAAAAAAAAAAAGAATAATATAAGTGGTGTGAATCTCACTGTTTTCTCCAGAGGATTAGGTACAGATCAGACACAGCAAGTACTCACTCCAGGTCAATACTAGAGATCGAATCTAGTAGAAGATGAACACATATACTAGAAAAGAAAAAAATGGGCCAGGCGCAGTGGCTCAAGCATATAATCCTAGCACTTTTGGAGGCCAAGGTAAGAGGGGTGCCTGAGCCTGCGGGTTTGAGACTAGCCTGAGCAACATGGTGAGATCTTGTCTCTACAATAAATCAAAAAATTAGCTGGGTGTGGCGACGTGCACCTGTGGTTCCAGCTACTTGGAAAGCTGGGGTGGAAGGGTCACCTGAGCCCAACAGGTCAAGGCTGTGGTGGCTGTGAGCATGCCACTGCACTCCAGTCTGTGTCACAGAGTGAGACTGATTAAAAAAAAATAATTAACATATACAGTCAGGTGTGGTGGCTCACGCCCATAACCCCAGCACTTTGGGAGGCAGAAGTGAGAGGATTGCCTGAGCCCAGGGGTTCAAGACCAGCCTGGACAACATGGCGAGACCGTGTCTTTACAATAAATCAAAAAAGTAGCCGGGTGTGGTGGTACACACCTGTGGTTCCAGTACTTGGAAGGCTGAGGTGGAAGGATCTCCTGAGTCCAGCAGGTCGAGGCTGCGGTGGCCGTGAGCGTGCCACTGCACTTCAGCCTAGGTGACAGAGTGAGACTCCTACTTAAAAAAAAAAAGAAATATTAAAAATAATCCTCAGGCCGAGAGTGGTGGCTCACGCCTATAATCCTAGCAATTCGGGAGGCCAAGGTGAGAGGATTGCCTGAGCCTATGGGTTTGAGACCCGCCTGGGCAACTTGGCAAGACCTCATCTCTACATAAATCAGAATATTAGCCAGGCATGATGGCGATTACCTGTAGTTCCAGCTCCTTGGAAGACTGAGGCGGAAGGATCGCCTGAGCCCCGCAGGTTGAGGCTGCGGTGGCCGTGAGCCCAGGACGTAGAGACTGCAGTGAGCCGTGATCGTGCCACTGCACTCCAGCCTGGACAACAAAGTGAGAATCCAACTCAAATCATCACCCATCATCATCATTTTGAGTCAAGGTCTCACTTTATTGCCCAGGCTGGAGTGCAGTGGCACAATCACAGCTCACTGCAGTCTCTATGTCCTGGGCTCAAGTGATCTTTCTACCCCAGCCTTCCAAATAGCTGGGACTACAGGCACGTGCCACCACGCCCGGCTAATTTTTTCTTTCTTTTTTTTTTTGTAGAGACGAGGTTCTGCTATTCTACCAAGGCTGGTCTCAAACTTCGGGGCTCAAGCCATCCTCCCACCTCAGCCTCCCAAAGTGCTGGGATGACAGGCGTGAACCACTGCACTTGACCATCAATATTTTGAATTTTACAAGTCACACATGTTATCATTTACTTTTATAATTATAGTTATGCGTATATGTATATATTGTTTATTGTGTGCGTATATACATATTGTTTTCAGACAATTTAGGTATCAATTTGCAGTGTTTTCTCAAATGGTAGTATTGTTGGTCTCTTTCTCTGCCTTACAGCCAGTCATTCACAGGCAAACACAGACGTGTGTGTGTGTCTGTGTGTGTGTGTGTGTGTGTGTGTGTGTGTGTATGTTTGTGCCTCTCAGTTCCCTTCACTGTCAAGTATCCCAGAGCACTTCTCTTTAGTTTGCTTACATGTTGTTCTCCAAACAAAAGTAAGATCCATTGCTCTGAAATAGTCATTAGCAAAATAATAAATAAATGAATGTGAGATTCATGTAGTTCAGCATTTTTCTGTTTTATTCAGTGTTGTAGCCTAGTGCCTGCGTATACTGGGGCCTACATAAATCTTCCTAAATGAAGGAGCCAGAGTAGGGTCTTTATTTCATTTTATTTTTTTTGAGTTGGAGTCTTACTCTTGTTGCCCAGACTGGAGTGCAGTGGCCACTCCCGGCCACCGCAGCCTCAACCTGCTGGGCTCCGGCGATCCTCCCGCCTCAGCAGAGTGGGGTCTTTAAACGGAGCCGTCCCGTGTGTGGCTCAGGCTTTGCCGGGTGGGAGCGTGAGTATGTGAGGATGGGCAGGGTGTTTTCTTCGAATACCCTCCTTGGTGCTCAGCAGAAATAAGCTCATCTCAATACACGGGGAACTAACAGTCCCAATGATAAAATGGCAAGGTTTGGGGAAAGAAAGTGCGGGCGTTGGGGTTCAGGCTTCGAGGAGAAACTGACCAGAACATTCTAGGCAGTCGATGTTATGAATCCACTCTGTTTCTGCAATTCCTCTGCTGTGAACTGGTTTTAGGAATGTCTGTTTTTCAGAGTTATAAGAATAGAAAAGCAGCCGGGCTCAGTGGCTCAGTCTGTAGTCCCGCGCCTTTGGGAGGCTGAGGCGAGTGGATGGCCTGAGCCCGTGGGTTCGAGACCCGCCTGGGCAGGCGAGACCTCATCTCTACAATAAATCAAAAAATCAGCCGGGCGTGGTAGCGCGCGCCTGTAATTCCGGCTACTCGGAAGGCTGAGGCGGAAGGATCGCTGGAGCCCAGCAGGTCGAGGCTGCGGTGGCCAGGAGCGGCCACTGCACTCCAGTCTGAGCGACAGTGAGACTCCAACTCAAAAAAACCCAAACAAACAAAGAATAGAAAAGCAAATGTGTATAGGCACTCAGTTGACAGCTCCTTAGAAAAGTTGGCATTGCAAAAAGTGTGGTGGTATTTGATGCTTTCCAACTAGGTGTGTCAGGAGACCCCGGGCCCATCAGGCAGACTCCCAGGACAGCATCTAATGAACTCGTGGCTGTGACTGATGATCAAGGCATGGAGCCACTCAGCCGTGACAGTACATGTGGCGTCCAGCGGAAGCCAGGCTGAGGGTTACGGTTCCCAGGGTCCTCCCCCGCGGAGGCACTCGGGAAGTACTGAGTTTCCCCAGCAACATGTCAGGACACCATGTGGGAAATGTTAGCAGCCTGTTGGAGACTCAGTTACCAGGTTCTTTTTTTTTTTTTTTTTTTTTAATTTTTTACTTTAAAGATGTGGGGTAAAATTCGTACAGGTAAAGTTTAGGCCTCCCTTTGGTCCCCACTTTGCCTGGTTGGAGTTGCCAGGTTCTTAAAAGCTGGGACGAGTCACGTGGGCATCCCCAAGGGGTCAGACTCTCTGGACGGGAGCAGATCTTCAGCATAAATGCATTCGATACACAGTCGAGGCACAGTGAGCCACTCCTGTCTGGGTGCTGGAAACCTCCCAAATCCAGGTTCCCTCACACCGACCAAGGGCAGCTGTGTACATGGGGTTTTCTAGGTGAGGGACTCTCGGACCTGCAGGCTGGCACTTTCTTGCACAGTCCACACCCTAGGCCACTGGACAGGCGTCTTCGCAGCAAAATTACCATCAGAGGCCTTTATGAGGTGGGGCAAGACCCAGCTGCAGTACTGATTTCGGTTTTACCCTCTAGGGATCCTGGATTGAGCCAGGCGAATTCCATTGCCTGCAAAGGTCTTAGAGAACCAAGTGTCTTAAGCTTCTGTATCATTCCTTCCCCCATATTGTTATTTTTTGCTGGACGGAGGCATCAATTCCTGCACGGTGTGACTGTAGCCAGCAAGTTGAACTGACCTAAATGCCTGCCAGGGATGAGGCCATGCCCCAGATGCCTGGCACACGCAAAGGAAGTCCAGCCCAGAGGGCACACGCAGTCCCCACAGAAACACAGTTTGCCCCGGGCAGGGCATCCCAGGCAGGACAGACGCTGGTCAGGCAGTCAGGTTAGCAAGGCCCCCGGCGTAGCCGCCCACGGTGGGACCTCCAGTCCTGAGTCTCGGTGTAAACCACGTAATTCAGTTCAAGCTGGCACCGTGGCTCACGCCTGTCATCCTAGCACTTAGAGAGGCTGAGGTGGGAGGATGGCTTGAGGCCAGGCGTTTGAGACCAGCCTGGGCAACATAGCAAGGCCTCGTCTCTGCAGAATATTGAAACATGAGCCGGGGTGTGCCTGTAGGTCCAGCCCTTCTTCCCGAGGTGGAAGGATCACCGGAGCCCAGCAGGTTGAGGCTGCATGGCCCTGACCGCGCCCCTGCACGCCAGCCTGGGCGACAGACTGAGCCTCTGGCCCAAAAAAAATAAAAAGAAAAAAGAAATCTTGTTCATAGAGCTCATTAACAAACTAAAAACTACTTAAACTTGCAAATGTAGGCCCCATTTAAAGGTTGCCTCTCTTTTCACTTGTCTCTCTGAGCCTCCATTAGGTAAAAATCAGACAAGACCCATGAGGGAGTCCTAATCTTACTTCTGGTATGTAGAGTTTAAATTCCAACCCACGCACCATGGCAAAAAACAAGGAGGCTGTGCTCCACTAACACTTAAAAAAACTGAATGGGACGATCTCTGTTGCATTGGACGCGTGTTGAGGACACGCTGTTTTCTGCCGTTTTATCCTACATGTAAGTGCCGCGGCATTCCTGTCACTTAGAGCTTTGGAAGCCCAAGGGGCCCCGTGCTGTGGCAGCAAAATCCCCAGCTCTGCATTCGTCTCCACACAGCCGTAATCCCTGTGTGTCTCTGTCTTCGTGTGGCATTTTTCTCTTTTTTGTAAGGACACTTGTCATACTAAATTGGGGCCCAACCTTATGACATCATCTTAACTTTTTTGGGGTCAGAGTCTCACTCTCTCCCAGGCTGGAGGGCAGTGGCATGATCACGGATCACTGCAGCCTCCACCTCCTGGGTTCAGGCGGTCCTCCCGCCTCAGCCTCCCAAAGTGCTGAGATTGGAGGTGGGAACCACGGCACCCTCCTCAGCTGCTGTTTCACACCATGGACGACTCCGTAGCCACCCAGGCACCCATGGCTCACCCTCCCTACCCCTTCATCCCTCCTTCCCCCCAAACGATAATGCTTTTGCCGTATTTCGGTGAGTCACGGTCGTTCTAGAACATCCTCCTTCTGACGCCAGCTGTGTCAAGACCACCTCTGTGTCCAGCCCTTCGGTGTGTTTTAAGCCTCACTCGGGTTTGGCCCTGGGCTTCGTTTCTGTAAAGAAAGTTCCCTTAGTGTCATCCTTGTGGAATCGTCCTGACTAGCTGGGACTACAAGCATGTGCCGCCAGGCCTGGCTCATTTTTTGACTTTTTGCAGAGACAAGGTCTTATCACGTTGCCCAGGCTGATCTCCAACTCCTGGGCTCAAGTGATCCTCCTGCCTCAGCCTCCCAAAGTGCTAGGATGACAGGTGTGAGCCACTGTGCTCGAATACTTTTTTATGGCCCTGGTGGAAGGAGCTGTTTTGGCATCGTGTAGCCTTAGTGTGCATTGTGTGTGCATATGTGTGCGTGTGTGCGAGAGAGAGTGAGAGATACTGACTCAGACTCAGAATTGTTTGGCTCCAACACTAATGCTCAGGCGTGTAGGAATGTGTGGAGGCCAGAGTTCCCATGTCTTTTTTCCTCTTTCCTGAGGTCTCATTTCTCAGTAACATCCTGTTTCCATGAAAATGCAGAGAGAAAGTGGAAGCTGAGCCCATATGATTATTAAAATAAATTAAAATGAATGCTTCTTTAGAAGAATGTTTTCTCGCAGCCATCGGACCTAGAGTTTTTCAAGACACCGTGGCTCCATGGCCCGTGTTGCAAGTTTGTAAAGGGAACACAAGGAAAAGTTTCTGGTCCTTGGGTGTTCCCTCCCTCTTTCCCTCCCTCTTTCCCTCCCCCTTTCTCTTCTTTTCTTCTCCTTCTTGACAGGGTCTGGCACGATCACCCAGGCTGAAGGGCATTGGCATTATCATATCTCCCTCCAACCTTGAACTCCTGGGCTTAAGTGATCCTCCCACTTCAGCCTCCTGGATAACTAAGACTACAGGCATGCGCCACCACACCCAGCTAATTTTTTATTTTTTATCTTGCTATGTCGCCCCGGCTGGTCTCAAACTCCTGACCTCAAACAATCCTCCTGCTTTGACCTCTCAAAGTTCTGGGATTACAGGCATCAGCCACCATGCCTGGCCCCTTCAGTGTGGATTTTTTGAATCGGAGTCCCACTCCATTGCCCATAGCCACCGCAGCCTCATCGTTCCACCTCATCCTCCCAAGTAGCCGGAACTACAGGCGCATGCTCCCACACTCAGCTGATTTTTGATTCACGTAGAGACGAGGCCTCGCCAAGCTGCCCGGGCTGGTCTCGAACCTGAGGGCTCAGGCAATCCAGTCGCCTCGGCCTCCCAAAGTGCTGGGATGACAGGCTGAGCCACCGAGTCCAACCCTTCAGTGTTTTAAACCTCATTTAGGTTTGACTCTGTGCTTCATGTAGTGTGGAGTGAGGTGATATGCAGTACGGTAGGGGAGCAGCTAAAATAATTTGTGTGACAAGGGATTGATGGTTTTAAAATGCCAATATCTCTTGCATTTATATAGTGCTTGATATCTGCAGTGTCTTCCTTTTGATAGAAATAATTCTTGGCCAACATAAAAATGTAGAGGTAAGTTCAGTGTGTTAGTGGTGCCGTTAAATCTATGAGGCGGTGAGTGTAGCGGTCTGGCAGGGTAGATGCGTCACAGGGTAGAGGCCGGGAGACCACAGAATCTCATCTGAACGATGTAAGGGTTGAGTCCTGTCTCTTGAGCTGTCTGTCTCGACTGTCCTCCCATAAGCATGTTGGGTGTTTCAGGATGCTGTGGTGTTTGCGGATGTGGCTGTGGACTTCACCCTGGAGGAGTGGTCTCTGCTGGATTCTGCCCAGAGGAACCTCTACAGAGATGTGATGTTGGAAACCTTCCAGAACCTGGCCTCCATAGGTGAGAGCGACATCGTTCCTTCACTCAGTGATTTAAAGAACAGATATTTCCTACACATCAAACCTGTTCCAAGACTTGGAATGCGGGTAAATAAGACAGACATGGACACAACTGGCAGGGAGGTAGAATCGAATGATTTTTCAATGATAATGAGAATCTATGCAGTGCTAAACTGAGTTTTTCTTTCTGTACAGAAAGTTCCCTTAGTGTCATCATTGTGTAATAGGTCTCATGGGTCCAGTGAAGTTTGTTTTTGCAACCCAGCGAGAATTTTACTGTGTTTATTAAATTGCTTACCATTTTACATTTATTTTATTTCATTTTGTTTGTTTTTTTGAGTTGGAGTCTCACTCTGTCGCCCAGACTGGAGTGCAGTGACCGCTCCCGGCCACCGCAGCCTCGACCTGCTGGGCTCCGGCGATCCTTCCGCCTCAGCCTTCCAAGTAGCTGGAACTACAGGCGTGCGCTACCACACCCAGCTTATTTTTTGATTTATTGTAGAGATGAGATCTCGCCAAGTTGCCCAGGCGGGTCTCGAACCCGTGGGCTCAGGCAATCCACTCACCTCAGCCTCCCAAAGGCGCGGGATTGTAGGCTGAGCCACCGAGCCCGGCTCCATTTTACATTTAAAAATGACCCCTTTGTGCTAGCTAACAGGTGCCTTCTTTAATATGATTTGTTCACTTTTTGGTTTCAGATGATGCAACTCAATTTAAAGTCAGCAGGTCAGTTTCTCGGAACGATATTTACGGAGGAAAAATACCCAAAGAACCTCAGAAGGCTGAGGTCATCAGAAGTGTTTCCTGGGCTTCCTTTTTAGGAAAATTTTGGGAAGACCTTAACATTGAAAGTCAACACACAAACCAGGGGCAAAATCTGAGGTGAGTTGCACTTAGGAGAGAAAGCAGTATTTTGGAAGAGAAACTGTGTGTCATAAAATTAGAAAACAAGCGAACAGAAAACGTATATAAACCTGGCTCCAAATTTGTTTATTCACAGAATGTTTACCAAAAAAAGTGTTTAAACATGACTGAGACATTGAGTGTTAGAAGCATAATTCAGTTGGAAACAATTATCAAGAAGCCCCATATAAAAGAAACACTGTTTTTCTTTTTTTCTTTTTTTGATATACGATACACCAGGCTTTCATTTCTTCTCTATATTATGATTGTGAGTTCCTGTGTAAGTTGACACTTACATGGAAAGGGAACACAAAATCCATTTTCAAATACATCAAAACAAAGCAAAACAAACACTTGAATAGACTTGATTCCCAAAGTGTCTTTTTTTTTCTTTTTTTGAGTTGGAGTCTCCTTCCGTCACCTAGGCTGGAGTGCAGTGGCATGCTCACAGCCACTGCAGCCTTGACCTGCTGGGCTCAGGCTATCCGTCCACCTCAGCCTTCCAATGCCCGGCTAGTTTTTTGATTTATGGTGGAAATGAGGTCTCATCAAGTTGCCCAGGCTGGTCTTGAACCCCTGGACTCAGGCAGCCCTCTCGCCTCCACCTTCCAAAGTGCTGGGATTACAGGCATGAGCCACCACGCCTGGCCAGAAACACTATTTTAACTCATTCACGACCGCTGACGTACTTTACATCATTCTAGATTCTGTTCCTGGTTGCCACTGACATGAATTTACCTCATTGTGGAAGACTGTCTTTTCACATTTATAACCCAAATAAAAATATGAAGTATGGAATGCTAGTGTCTGAGGCAAATACTAGATATGTCTGAAACTTTCAGTTGTATTGTGAAAAAGATGACAGTTTAGAAAAGACCACTTCACTTGTGCTTAACAACAGAAGTTTGCAGCAACCAGCTTCAAATTTTTTTTATTTTCACCTGCTCTCAGTATTAGGAAAGTGAAAATTTTGTCAGTTTCAAATGTGTTAATAATACCAGTGGTCAGACCCTCTTCCAGAGCATTCCATTTATACCACTTCCAAACAATTCAGATCACTTGCTTCCAAGAACATGTAAGAATGCATCCTGCAGTCAAACCCTATGAATGCAAGCTATGTGGGAAAGCTTTCTGTTGCCACATGTCCTTACCAAAACACTTGAGAAGGCACACTGTGCGGAGAAACTCTGTGAATGCAAGCAGTGTGGGAAAGCTTTCAGTTGGCCTGAGCTTGTGCAACAACACGTGAGAACACACACTGCAGAGAAATCCTGTGAGTGTAAGGAATGTGGGAAAGTCTTCAAATGGCCGTCGTCTTTACCGATACATATGAGACTGCACACTGGAGAGAAGCCTTATAAATGTAAGCGTTGTGGGAAAGCATTTAACTGTTCCTCATCCTTAAGAAGACATATGAGACTACACTACAGAAAAACACTGTGAGTGTAACGTGGAACCTCCTCCAGCAAATGAACTCTTGTACAATGCTTCAGAAACCTCACACCAGGAGAGAGATCTTCTGAAAGCTGTAACTATGGTATTACCTTTATGAATACCTCACCCTTAATCACATAAGGACACACAAGGAGTATATTCATAGTTCATTTACCATAAACATTTAGGTGAAAAATCTCTAAGCACTCTTAAGTATACATTTTGACAGATCTCTTTAAGAATATTGTTCAAGCCAGGCTTGGTGGCTCAACCTGTAATCCCATGCTTTGGGAGGCTGAGGTGAGTGGATTGCCTGAACCTGTGGGTTTGAGACCCGCCTGGGCTACTTGGTGAGACCTCATCTCTACAATAAATTAAAAAATCAGCTGGGCATGGTAGCACGTGCCTGTAATTCCAGCTACTCGGAAGGCTGAGGCGGAAGGATCACTGGAACCCAGCAGGTCGAGACTGTGGTGGCCGAGAGCGGCCACTGCACTCAAGTCTGGGCGACAGAGTGAGACTTCAACTCAAAAAAAGAAAGAAAAGAAAAAAAATATATACATACACACACACACACACACACACACACACACACACACACACACACACACACACATATATATCACTCAGTAAGTAAAATGTTTATCCTTACTGGATGACTTGAAGTGTATTTTTGATATGCAAGTCGTTTTAATTTTCATTTAGTTTCTTTCTTTCTTTCTTTCTTTTTGAGTCAGAGTCTCACTCTGTTGCCAAGACTGGAGTGGCTTGCTCACGGCCACTGTAGCCTCAAGCTGCTGGGCTCAGGTGATCCTTCTGCCTCAGCCTTCGAGTAGCTGGAACTACAGGTGTACCCAGATCATTTTTTGATTTATTGTAGAAATGAGGTCTTGCCAAGTTGCCCAGGCTGGTCTTGAACCCCTGAGCTCAGGCAATCCTCTCTCCTCTGCTTCCCAAAGTGCTGGGATGACAAGTATGAACCACTGCACCCAGCTTATTTGGTTTCTTTTTTTTTCTACCCAGGCTGGAGTGCAGTGGCATGCTCATGGCTATTGCAGCCTCGACCTGTTGGGCTCAAGTGATCCTTGTGTCTCAGCCTTCCAGGTAGCTGGGGCTACAGACATGCACCACCATGCCCAGCTGATTTTTTGATTTATTGTAGAGATGAGGTCTCACCAAGTTGCCTAGGCTGGTCTCGAATCCGTGGGCTTGGCAGTCCTTTCACCTTGGCCTCCCAAAGTGCTAGGATTATAGGTGTGAGCCACCGCATGGCCTATTTAGTTTCTTAAATTGTTCTGTAAGTAAGGGGTTATCAAAATAGTAACACCTTAGAATTTTGTTGGTTTTTACTGGTTTAATGTGACAGATATGTCTCTTACCTATTAGAATTTCTATGTGTTGTTACTGAGAGTATTATTTTGGGTAAAAACCCTACATTTTCACTGAAAATGGTTAAAATGTAATCCTCCTACTTAGTAATAAATATTAACGTGTTGTCATTAAGCCAGCCATCCATAACATGCTTCTTATTTTCAATAGAAACTATATGGTGGAGAGACTCTATGAAAGCAGTGGTGAATGTGGAGAAGTCTTCAGCCAGATTCCAAATCTTAATCTGTGCAAGGAAATTCTCGCTGGAGGAAAACAATGTGAACACCACGCGTATGAAAAAGTCTTCATGCCTCACTCGTCCCTCAAGAGCCACATGACAGTTCACACTGGACATAAACCGTATCCGTGCCAGGAATGTGGGCAGGTCTACAGTTGTCGTTCACACCTGAGAACTCATATGAGAACCCATAAAGGAGAGAGACCTTATGCGTGTGAGTTATGCGGGAAGACCTTTCCTCGGACTTATTCCCTCAACCGTCATATAAGGATTCACACTGCGGAGAAAACCTACGAATGTAAGCAATGTGGGAAAGCGTTCATTGATTTTTCAAGTCTCACTAGTCACCTAAGAAGTCACACTGGAGAGAAGCCATATAAATGTAAGGAATGTGGGAAAGCTTTTAGTTACTCCTCAACTTTTCGAAGACATATGATCACACACACTGGAGAGAAGCCCTACAAATGTAGGGAATGCGGGGAAGCCTTCAGTTATTCCTCAACTTTCCGAAGACACATGATATCACACACTGGAGAGAAGCCACATAAATGTAAGGAATGTGGGGAAGCCTTCAGTTACTCCTCAGCTTTCCGAAGACACATGATAGCACACACTGGAGAGAAGCCCTACAAATGCAAACAATGTGGGAAAACCTTCATTTATCTTCAGTCCTTTCGAAGACATGAAAGGATTCACACTGGCGAGAAACCTTACGAATGCAAGCAGTGTGGGAAAAGCTTCATTTATCCGCAGTCCTTTCGAAGACATGAAAGAACTCACGGTGGAGCGAAACCCTATGAGTGTAACCAGTGTGGGAAGACATTCGGTCATCCTTCATCCTTTCGAGGCCACCTGAGAGTGCACACTGGAGAGAAGCCCTATGAGTGCAAGCAATGTGGGAAAACTTTTAACTGGCCCATCTCTTTACGAAAACATATGAGAACACATACTAGAGAGAAACCGTACGAATGTATTCAGTGTGGGAAAGCCTTCAGTTTGTCTGCTTGCTTTCGAGAACATGTGCGAATGCATCCTGAAAACAAGTCCTATGAATGCAAGCTATGTGGGAAAGCTTTCTATTGCCACATATCCTTGCAGAAACACATGAGAAGGCACACCGCAGAGAAACTCTATGAATGCAAGCAGTGTGGGAAAACTTTCAGTTGGCCTGAGCTTTTGCAACAACACGTGAGAACACACACTGTGGAGAAACCCTACGAATGTAAGGAATGTGGGAAAGTCTTCAAATGGCCGTCATCTTTACCGATACATATGAGACTGCACACTGGAGAGAAGCCTTATAAATGTAAGCATTGTGGGAAAGCATTTAACTGTTCCTCATCCTTAAGAAGACATGTGAGAATACACTACAGAAAAACACTGTGAGTGTAATGCACAACATCCTCCAGCAAATGAGCTCTTGTACAATGCTTCAGAAATCTCACACCAGGAGAGAGATCTTCTGAAAGTTGTAACTATGGTATTGCCTTTATGAATGCCTCACCCTTAAACACATAAGGACACACAAGGAGTATATTTATAGTTCATTTGCCATAAATATTTAAGTGAAAAATCTCTAAGTACTCTTAGGCATGCTACATATGTTTTGACAGATCTCTTTAAAAATATTCAGAGCTGGGCTCGGTGGCTCAGCCTGTAATCCCGTGCCTTTGGGAGGCTGAGGTGAGTGGATTGCCTGAGCCCGCGGGTTCGAGACCTGCCTGGGCAACTTGGCGAGACCTCATCTCTACAATAAATAAAAAAAATTAGCCGGGCGTGGTAGCACGCACCCGTAGTTCCAGCTACTCGGAAGGCTGAGGCGGAAGGATCGCCGGAGCCCAGCAGGTCGAGGCTGTGGTGGCCGGGTGCCACGGCCCTCCAGCCTGGGTGACAGAGTGAGACTCCAACTCAAAAAATATATATACATATTATTCAGTAAATAAAACACTTATCTTTGCTGTTTGTTGGACTCATGGATGACTTGAAGTATAGGTTTTGACTTTTACTTAGTTTCTTAAATTTTTTGATAAGTAAGGGATTGTCAGAATAATGACACCTTGGATTTTTTTTAACTTCATGTGACAGATATATCCCCATTATAATTTCTACCTGTTGTTACTGGAGAATTAATTTATTGACCAGAGTAGACTTATTCCATTTTCCCTTCTAAAAAATAATTGGCAGAAATGTATGATTATGCGAAGTTCTTCAAAGAGTATAGTCTTTGGACAATAGGCTTTGACTTAAGAGATATGTGTGCTATAACAATGAAATCTAGAGTTGGAGATAGTTCTTCTGGATTGCATTATGTCATTGTGGGTAATGGTAGGAACTGCATTTGCTGGAAACCCTTTCCTTTATGGTTCTGTGTTATTCCATGTTCAAGTTTATCAGTAACCTAACTTGCATGTGATTTGGAAGGAAGAAGTAAAGAAGTTATAACAGGGTTCAGGGGCTGCAATAAAGGAGATAAGTGCATGGTGACTTTGTGGATGTTGCCAACATTCAGCTAATTTTCTGGATTCTTGGCCCTCCTGATTGAGAGTATCATCAAAACAAACACGAAGTGCTTGATTTCCATTTTGTCATAGGTAGAGTTCCACAGACATCTCTGTGAGGGTGGCATCAAGGATACATATGTGTGGTTAGGCACCCACAGCTCAGATTTCCCTTCAAACTGTACATGATCTCCTGACCACTGACTTGGGCTGTCATGGTTGGCAATCTCTGATATACTGTTTCCCCTCTAGTTTTTTTTTTTTTTTTTTGAGTTGGAGTCTCACCCTGTTGCCCAGACTGGAGTGCAGTGGCACACTCCCAGCCACTGCAGCCTTGACCTGCTGGGCTCTGGCGATCCTTCCACCTCAGCCTTCCAAAGAGCCAGAACTACAGGCGTGCGCTACCATGCCTGGCTGATTTTTTATTTATTGTAGAGACGAAGTCTTGCCAAGTTGCCCAGGCAGGTCTCGAACCTGTGGGCTCAGGCAATCCACTCGCCTCAGCCTCCCAAAGTGCTAGGATGACAGGCTGAGCCACCGAGCCCAGCCTCCCTCTAGAACGCAACATATTTGTATAAGATCTGATTTGTGTAGTGCGCACTTGTTCTCTTAATACTCCTAGTGGCTCGGTGATCCGGATTCCAACACACAAGCTAGAGTGTTTCAACCAAACAAGAAAAACACATGGGACTTTGTTACCCTATTGTATTTTTAAGTGTGCTGACCCAGTTCTGAGTGAGAATAAATATTTTCCTCTCATTAATATGTGACGAGATTTTTGTTACTCAAAGCTGAATGCAATTCCCTGATATGGGGCTTACTATGTATAATTATCACTAAAATCCCTTTTTTTTTTTGAGTTGGAGTCTCACTCTGTCGCCCAGACTGGAGTGCAGTGGCCCAACTCAAAAAATATATATTTTTCGACCTGCTGGGCTCCGGCGATCCTTCCGCCTCAGCCTTCCAAGTAGCTGGAACTACAGGCGCATGCTACCATGCCTGGCTCATTTTGATTTATTGTAGAGATGAGGTCTCACCAAGTTGCCCAGGTGGGTCTCAAGCCTGCGGGCTCAGGCAATCCACTCACCTCAGCCTCCCAAAGGTGCGGGATTACAGGCTGAGCCACCGAGCCCGGCTTAAAATGCATTTTTAAAGGAATACGTTATATGGACATTTCTTAGAAATATCCTACATCCTGTATTTTCAAGTTAGGTGTATACTAACTGAATTAATCTCCTAGGATGGTTGTAGGGAAGTACAAAAATCGGGTCTCCTAGGAAGTCAGAAATGCTTTGCTTCACAGTTCTGGAATCCAAAGTTCAAAAACAAGGTGTTGGCCGGACCAGGCTCCCTCTGAAGATGCTGGGGGAAGGATCTGTCTCAGCCTTCACCGACTCCTGGAAGTTCCTTGACTTTGGCGGTGTAAACTCGAATTTTCTCATGGCATTCTCCCCGTGTGCATGTCTGTCTCTTCATATGGTGTTCTTTTTATGCATACAGCACTCATGTTGGGTTATGACGTATCATAACCAATTACATCTACAACAACTGTATTTCCAAATAAAGCCACACACTGAGTTGTCTGGAGGGCTAGGGATTCAACAACTCACCCCATACACTAGCAAATGTTTTTCTCTTTGCTTTTCAATTACTGAGACAATTATTCACTATGAATTTCAAGTCCATTTTGTAATTTTATTAATTTAAGCATGATATGTAGTGAATCAGTATTATCAGGTATATACAGAAGTAAAGCTGGTTGGGCTCGGCGGCTCAGCCTGTAATCCCAGCACTTTGGGAGGATGAGGTGAGTGGATTGCCTGAGTCCACGGGTCCGAGACCTGCCTGGGCAACTTGACGAAACCTCATCTCTACAATAAATCAAAAATTAGCCAGGCGTGGTAGCGCATGCCTGTAGTTCCAGCTACTTGGAAGGCTGAGGTGGAAGGATCGCTGGAGCCCAGCGGGTCAAGGCTGCAGCAGCCAGGAGCGGCCACTGCACTCCAGTTGGAGTGACAGAGTGAGACTCCAACTCAAAAAAAAAAAAAAGTAAAGCTATTTTTATCATGCAAATTTTATTTTTGTTATATATTTATGGCATTTGGCATGAAAATGATTTCTTACTCATTGTTAATACAGAGGATGCCAAAAATATGTACACATTTTAAGAAAAACTGTATGAAAATTGTAATATTCAATATACATATACCAGTAACAAAAGATGAATACAAGTCACATTTGACTTCTGCAGTTATAAGAGTTGCTCAAAGTGGTTACCATCAGTGTCCAGACTGATGATGATTTGGCAAACTTTTGTCAGACTTCTGATTATGGCAAACAAAATAATACATAGATAAATCACTTAAACAATGCATACTTTTTTTGGCACCCCCAGTATATATTTTTTACAAAAGCCTAAGTCAGGGTTTTTGCCAAAACCACCAGAATCATACTGGTAGTAAAAAATTTTCAAAATAAAATAAACGGAGCCAGGCTCGGTGGCTCAGCCTGTAATCCCGTGCCTTGGGGAGGCCGAGGTGAGTGGATTGCCTGAGCCTGCAGGTTTGAGACCCGCCTGGACAACTTGGTGAGACCTCATCTCTACAATACTCAAAAAAAAAAAAATTAGCCGGGCGTGGTAGCGCACAACTGTAGTTCCGGCTACTCGGAAGGCTGAGGCGGAAGGATCGCCGGAGCCCAGCAGGTCGAGGCTGCGGTGGCCGGGAGCAGCCACTGCACTCCAGTCTGGATGATAGAGTGAGACCCCAACTCAAAAAAGACAAAAACAAAAACAAAAGTGATTTGATGATCATTGTGTCTCATTTAAACCCTCCTCTGCCATCATTCCCTCTTATACAAATGAAGAAAGTCAAGTACAGGGAGCCGCAGAGTCTTATAAAATCATGTCGCTCATGGATGAACAAATCATTCAAGTTTGAAGGGTTAATCTGTGTTTAACCTGTACTGGGCATCGTCGGAACTTAAATTTAGAGCACTGGAAAGCATGTATAATTGCTCTATTTTACTAACAGGGAATCACATTTTGTGAAAATCCTCCTAAGTGGTCAGGCACGGTGGCTGACACCTGTCATTCCAGCAGTCTGAGAAGCTGAGGTGGGAGGACTGCTCGAGCCCGGTCTTGAGTTCAAGACCAGCCTGAGTAATATAGTGAGACCTTGTCTCAAAAAAAGACTCCTAAAGTTATACGGCTTTCCTTTTCAGGCAGGCTAGCTAGCTTAGGCATGTAGGGGGTGGAAAATTACTGAGCAGAAGGTTAAGAAACTTCCTGTAAATTGTAACTGATGGGATGCTGACATGACATCCCCTGATTTGTAACCAACAGGAAACCAACACAACTTCCTATGACTTGTAACTGACAGACTAACAACAAATGACAGAAGTCAGCATTCTCCATCCTGGGACCCCTCTTCCTCTTGGACATCCTCCTCATTCCCCTTTTTGAAGTGTATTTAAGTTCAAATCAAAGTTCTTTCATTTGCTTTCTGTGACTCGTCCTGGAATTTTTTCCTTTGACGGAGTCGACAGCCTGGTATCGGATATGGGTTGATGATCACCGTTCTCAGGAAGACTTCCATGTCCCTAAGAAGACAGACATGGCAGCATGCTGGACCTAACGCAGGAACACTGTCTCTCTCGCTGAGGCAATCCTTATCAAGCCTGCTGCCACCACTTTGCTTGTTTTGAGTCAGGGGTCTCACTGTCACCCAGGCTGGAGTGCAGGGGCATGGTCATGGCTCACTACAGTCCCAACCTCCTAGGCTCAAGCAATCCTCCCTCCTCAACCTTTCGAGGAGCTGCCACTACAGGCATGCACTGCCATGCCTGGCTAATTTTTAAATTTTTTTTGTAGAGATGAGGTCTCACTGCATTGCCCAGGCTGGTCTTGAACTCCTGGGCTCAAGCGATCGTTCAACCTCAGCTTCCCAAAGCTCTGGGATGACAGACGCGAGCCACCACACTTGGTCTCACCATCACTTTGACATGATGTGAAAAAGTCAAACTAAAATATCAGTGGTCGGAGGTGGAGTATTCAAGTACCAAAGGGCACAAGAGTTTTTGGTTTTTTGTTTTTAATTTGGGGATGATGGAATTTCTCTATCATGGTTGCGGTGATGTAAGCAAGCATTTATGAAAACTTCCAGGGCTACTCTTAAAATGATAAATTTTACTATGTATATCCTTAAAGGTTCACGCCACAAACAATAAAAAGATTTTCGTGTGTTAAGAGAAAACTCGAAACTCTCCTGAACTTTGCCATAGAAATATGCAAGAAGACTCTTCCCTACCACGTTGGGATCCCTCTCTGGACGAAATGGAAGACTGGGAAAGAAGGAATTTGCTTCGTCTACCACTGTTTAAAACCTAGTCTGAAATTAGGAGATGCAAAGGCCACACCTGACCTCACTTCACACACACAACTGGAAAGAAGTGAGAGATTTCCAAGAATCTCTCGTTTCCACCTGCTTCTTCCTGGCAGACCTTTGGAGTGCTGTGGTTCTGGAACATCAAGGGGGACCCTAGCTTTTCCCAGGAGACCCTGGGAGCATTTTAATCCTTGAGCCTCAGCCTCATGTGTTTCCAGGGCCTGTCTTAAGGTCATTCCTGAAACCATGCCTCAAAGAGTTAAAGAAACCAATCACTCAATTCTCGAGCTTATAGGAGGGCAGATAAGAAAAGAAACAACTTACTGAAAAGCAAAAACTGTACTGTGCCCCCAAAGAATAAGAAGCCAACGACTCCCAGAAACTCTTGAGTTTGCAGGAAAGCAGATAAGAAAAGAATCGGCCAGGTTCATTGGTTCAGCCTGTCATCCCAGCACTTTGGGAGGCCGAGGCGAGTGGATTGCCTGAGCCCACGGGTTCGAGACCCGCCTGGGCAACTTGGCAACACCTCATCTCTACAATAAATCAAAAATCAGTCGGGCGTGGTAGCACGCGCCTGTAGTTCCAGCTACTCGGAAGGCTGAGGCGGAAGGATCGCCGGAGCCCAGCGGGTCGAGGCTGCGGTGGCCGGGAGCGGCCACTTCCCTCCAGTCTGGGTGACAGAGTGAGACTCCAACTCAAAACAGAAAAAGAAAAGAAAGAATGGCATGCTCAAAAAAGAATATTAATCTAAAAAATAACGAGAATGGGCTGTGCACAGTGGATCACACCTGTAATCCTAGTGCTTTGGGAGGCTGAGGCAGGAGGATCACTAGAGACTGTGATTTTGAGACCAGCCTGGGCAACATAGCAAGATCCTGTCTCTAAAAGAAATAGCTAGAATATCCTAGGAATGCTACATCTTGAAATAAGTGGGGAGCTGGCTGAAGCTCTCAGGGTCTGTTCCAATCCCCCCAGAACAGAATATTCTTCACTTTGGCTCAGTATGTCCCATTGCCCTTGAAGTACAGAATCCAAGGTGGGTTGCTTTTTGGGTTCCCTCATCTGCGGTGCAAATGAGGCATGTGTAGACCCCCATGGGCTCCAGGCGGCTTTCTGAGCCCTGAGGACCAGCTCCCAATGAAGCCTGGGCTTCTCCAGTCCCTTGCTGCCTGTCTGCCTGTAAGTAATAAACATGTTCTGTGTATAACTTGTATGGGGGGCGTTTGGCCTCACCCGACTCACACAAGTTGGTACCCAGTGCACAGTGAACCTGCTTCACAAAGAGCATTATGTAGTCATGTCACAGAATTAAAAATCCTGCCAACCACAAACATGATGAAATATTGCCCCTCTGGAGCTCACAAAATTGTCTCCTGCTTCTTTACAAATCAGTTTTTGCCCAAGTCCATTCTTGGCTTCTAGACAAAAACCATATATTCTTTTTGAGTTAGCGTCTCACTCTGTTGCCCAGGTGTTGCAGTATTGTGACATGATTGTAGCTCACTGCAGCCTCAACCTCCTGGGCTCAGTCTATCCTGTCCTCCCAGCTCAGCCTCCTGAGTAGCTCTGAATACACACACGAGTCACCATGCCTGGCTGATTTTGTGATTTTTTTTTTTTTTTTTTGTAGACACACGGTCTCGTAATGTCGCCTAGGCTGGCCTCAAACTCCTGGGCTCAAGGAATACACCCGCCTCAGTCTCCCAAAGTGCAGGGTTTACAGGCACGAGCCACCACACCTGGCCAACAAAAACTATTCCAATTCCAATCATAAAGTCACCTTGATGTCCGATATCAGATATTCCCCAAGGCAGGCATCCCGGGCTTAGTGATTCCTTGGAAGGACTGACAAGGTTCAGATGAGCCGTTGTGCTCGTGATCACGGTGAAAGGACACAGGTGACAGTCGGGCAAAGAGAAAAGCAGTGAGGGTGAAGCCCAGAAGGAGTCAGCCTCCAGTTGCCCTCTCAGGGAAGTGCCCTCTCAGGGAAGTGGCCCTCTCAGGATTCTCAGCTGCGATGGTGACAGCCTGTGACATGCTGGCAATCGGCGATGCTCATCTGAGGCCAGGTGTCAAGGGCCTTCAAGGTCAGCCGTGTAGCCATGCAGCCACACCCCTGACTGACCTTAGCTACTTAATCTCCAGGTCCACATCTCAATGGTCGAACGCACACAGCATCGCCTGTGGCCTCAGGTGTTCACCATAAGTCACATCGTGCAGTCAGCCTATCTGGTTCAGGCAAGGTGACCTCCCCGGAGCTGGTCAATGGCCAGCGTCTTCTTTGGAGAGGGCATGGCTTGGGCAATCCAAGCCTGCAGGGTTAACACTTTAATGCACCCCCGCAGACAACATCCAACTCAGTGCAAAGTCAGCTTCCTTGAGCTGAATCTCCCCCAAATCACCTAATGACCGCAAATCCTTTCAACCCACCATTTCTGAGTCCCATTGTTCGACTGCAAGTGTGCTTCCCACGGGTTCTGGCTGGTGAGCATTGACATAACCAGTGTAAGCTTTTCTTTGTAAGAATGAATAAGTCACTTTAATGACAAACTTCGTAAGAGTTTAATAATCCATATAAAAAGTCTAAAACGTTTAAGCACTATGGCATGAGAATGTATGCTTAAAATTAAAAAATTGACTTCACAAGCTGTAACTGTATTGGAATATTTTAACATACCTTTCTCAGTACATGAAAGACAAAGTTATAACTTTAAATACACAGCAATTATAAAACCAGTTCTAGGATTGTTCTAAGAAATATGTACAGAACCTTGTATTTGGCAGGAAAAAAAAAAGGAGGTTACTCTTGCCAACATAAAAGTTGTAAGAATTTAATATACATTGGGCAGCCGGGCTCGGTGGCTCAGCCTGTAATCCCAGCACTTTAGGAGGCTGAGGTGAGTGGATTGCCTGAGCCCGCGGGTTTGAGACCTGCCTGGGCAACTTGGCAAGACCTCATCTCTACAATAAATCAAAAAATTAGTTGGGCGTGGCAGCGCGCGCCTGTAGTTCCAGCTACTCGGAAGGCTGAGGTGGAAGGATCGCCGGAGCCCAGCAGGGCAAGGCTGCGGTGGCCGGGAGCGGCCACTGCACTCCAGTCTGGGCGACAGGGTGAGACTCCAACTCAAAAAAAAGAAGAAGAAAGAAAACACATGGGACTTTATTTCCTGATTGCAGTGTTAGGTAATTGCATTTACCCTGCCCTTTTGTTTCTGGACAGTTCCACATGAGGAATAAGTACCTTGTAGATACATGAAGCAGATGCTAGGAATTTTCTGTTCTCTAGAGGTGAATGCAATCTCTACATAATAAGCCCAATGTGGCTCGGCCTGTCATCCCAGCACTTTGGGAGGCTGAGGCGACAGAACTGCCTGAGCCCATGGGTTTGAGACCAGCCTGGGCAGCTCGATGAGACCTCGTCTCTACAATGCATCAAAAAAATTAGCTGGGCATGGTGGCACACGCCTGTAGTTCCAGCTACTTGGAAGGCTGAGGCGGAAGGATCCCCTGAGCCCAGCAGATCGAGGCTGTGGTGGCCAGGAGCCTGCACCTGCACTCCAGCCTGGGCGACAGAGTGAGACTCCAACTCAAAAAAAAAGAAAGTCAAACACATGATGTTTGGTTCAGGAAAATCATCTGGAAATGTGTCCATCAAACCCTATGTACCCTGTTCTCATGATCTCCCTATATGAGAGTCCAAGAAACCAAGTATGATGTATTATTCATTTCGGCCTTCCAGATCTCATGCAAGTTACTCTCCTGGCCAACTCTAATTTGGAACACAATATAGAAAAGAAATTCTGCGAAATGTAGAATATGTACTCACGTGGACATAGTTCACATAGCACAACACATCTGCTCTAAATGTTACCATCTTGGGCTGGGCGTGGTGGCTCAAGCCTGTCATCCCGGCACTTTGGGAGGCTGAGGTGAGAAGACTGCCTGAGTTTAGGGATTCGAGGCCAGCCTGGGCAACTTGGCGAGACCTCACCTCTACAATAAATCAAGAAAAATTAGCCGGGTGTGAGGTGTATGCCTGTAGTTCCAGCCACTTGGAAGGCTGAGGCAGGATCATCCTTGGAACCCAGCAGGTTGATGCTGGGGTGGCTGTGAGCGTGCCCCTGCACTCCAGCCTGGGCGACAGAGTGACCTGTGAATGCAAACAGGAAGCTTAGAGATTAGTTTCTCCCTTAGAAGCTCCCGAAGAAAGCAACATGAATGACACCTAGATTTGAGACTCCTAGCCTCCAGAACTACAAGAGAATAGATTTGTTTCATTAACCCATCAACTTTGTGACAATTTGTTACAGGAGACCTTGCAAAGTAACGCTTTAATATTTCTCTAAGTGTTTTGCTCAAAAAGATCTAGAGTCTCATGCCTATAATCCCAGCTCTTTGGGAGGCTGTGGCAGGAGCATGTTTGAGGCCAGGAGTTCAAGACCACCCTGGGTCACATGGTGAAGCTTCCATCTCTATTTTTTAACATTCTTCATTTGAAAAGTTATAAAAAGAACTGGAAATATGATCTACTATAAGCCTACTGTAAGCATAAAGCACTCATAAACCCAACACTGTATTTAAGATCTTTATAAAAATTTTCTAATGGCATGAATTTTGTTGGATACACAAAGTTATCTATATGAAATCTTAACTACTTAATTATGCTACTTCATGACACAGGGTTTCCCTCCTGTGTGAGTTATCATATGTTTTCTTAAGGCTGGGGGACTCCAGAAGGCTTTTCCACATAGCTTACATTTTGAGAGTTTCTCTCCAGTATGAATTGTCACATGTCTGTGTAAGGAGGAGAGTCTACTGAATGCTTTTGTACAATCCTTACATTCATAGGGTCTCTCTCTGCTGTGGGTCCTCAAATGTCCTCGAAAGGATGATGACCAGCTGAAGGCTTTCCCACATTGCTTACATGTGTAGGGTTTCTCTCCAGTGTGAATTCTCACATGAGTCCTAAAGTATGAAGGACTACTAAAGGCTTTCCCACACTCACTGCATGCGTAGGGTTTCTCTCCAGTGTGAGTTCTCATGTGTCCCTTGAAGGATGAGGGCGAACTGAAGGCTTTCCCACACTGCTGACACTCGTAAGGTTTTTCTCCAGAGTGTGTTCTCATGTGTATCCTGAGGTCGGAGGGCCAACTGTAGGCTTTCCCGCACTCCACACACTTGTAGGCTTTCTCTCCAGTGTGCATTCTCGCATGTATGATCAGGTAAAAAGAATGAAGGAAGGCTTTCCCACATTCCTTGCATTCATAGATCTTCTCTGCACTGTGAACTTTCATGTGCTTTCTAAGGGAAGAGGGAGAAGAAAAGCATTTCTCACATTCTTTACAAGCATGGGGTTTCTCGACAGTATGAGTTTCCTTATGTGTCCAAAGGTTTGAGGGCGATCTGAAGGTTTTCCCACATTTTTCACATTCATAAGGTTTCTCTCCAGTGTGAGTTCTTAGATGTACTCTCAGCTTGGAGAAGTAGATAAAGGCTTTTCCACATTCTTTACAGGCAAAAGGTTTCTCTTCAGTGTGAGCTCTGACGTGTGCCCTAAATGATGAGTAACAGACAAAAGTTCTTCCACATTCCTTACACTGATAGGCTCTTTGTCCATGTTGAGATGACGCTATATGACTCTTTAGGGATGAAGTGTCCATGATGGCTTTTTCAAGCTTATTGTTTTCATGGGATTTTACTCCAGGTGAAAGTCTCTGATGCACACTGAGTTTTGGAATCCAGTTGACTGTTTCTCCACATTGATTACTTTCATTATTTTCTGAGGGTATCTTTACCACAGGACTTCTGTTAAAAATAAGAATATTATCAGTTGTTTAGTAGTTAATTATGTGTTGATGGCTTTTTTTTTTTCTGAGTTGGAGTCTCATTCTGTTGCCCAGGCTTGAGGGCAGTGGCATACTTACGACCACCCCAGCCTCGACCTGCTGGACTCAGGTGATTCTTCCACCTCAGCCTTCCAATGTCCGGCTAATTTTTTGATTTATTGTAGAGATGAGGTGTTGCCAAGTTACCCAGGCTGGTATTGAACCTGTGGGCTCAGGCAATTCTCTCACCCTGGCCTCCCAATGTGATGGCTCACACCTGGAATCACAGCACTTTGGAAATCCTCTCGCCTTGGCCTCCCAAAGTGCTGGGATTACAGGCTTGAGCCATGGTGCCAGCCCATTGATGGCTTTTAATGATGAATAAAACTGCATTTTAACCATTTCCAGGAAATGTATATATATTTTTTATCTCTCTGAATTGTTTCAAAGTGGTATAAGCTGAATGAATGCTCTAATGGGGCTCAAACATAGGTATCAATTTCTGTGTTCCATCATGTAGGGTTTGTTTTTGTTTGTTTGTTTTTTGAGTTGGAGTCTCACTCTGTTGCCCAGACTGGAGTGCAGTGGCCACTTCTACCCACTGTAGCCTCGACCTGCTGGGTTCCGGCAATCCTTCCGCCTCAGCCTTCCAAGTAGCCGGAACTACAGGCGCATGCTACCACGCCCAGCTAATTTTTTGATTTATTGTAGAGATGAGGTCTCTTCAAGTTGCCCAGGTGGGTCTCGAACCCGCGGGCTCAGGCAATCCACTTACCTCGGCCTCCCAAAGGGCTGGGATTACAGGCTGAGCCACCGAACTCGGCCATGTAGGGTTTTTTTTTAACTGATATTGTTTATAACTCAACTATGTCTTAATCAAAATGTGCATCGCTTTTATAAGACTGTCTTGTGAAAAGTTTCTGTGAATGTTTAGCATCTGACTTACATGTACACATACACACACACCAAACACTAAAGCGGAAAATGGCATGCTTATGCTCCCTCCCTGAAACACTACGACCTGCTGGGCTCCGGCGATCCTCCCGCCTCAGCCTTCCACGCAGCTGGAACTACAGGCGCGCTACCACACCCAGCTAATTTTTTGATTTATTGTAGAGATGAGGTCTCGCTGCCCAGGCGGGTCTTGAACCCGCAGGCTCAGGCAATCCACTCACCTCAGCCTCCCAAAGGCGCGGGATGACAGGCTGAGCCACCGAGCCTGGCTAATCTTTTTTTTTTTACTGTTTTTTTGTTTTGCTTTTGAGTCAGAGTCTCACTTTGCCCCCCAGGCTGGAGTGCAGTGGCATGCTTACGGGCCACTGCAGCCTCAACCTGCTGGGATCAGGCGGTCCTTTCCGCCTCAGCCTTCCAAGTAGCTGGAACCACAGGCATGTGTCACCATGCCCAGCTAATTGCTCATTTATTGTAGAGATGAGGTCTTGCCAAGTTGCCCAGGCTGGTCTTGAACCCCGAGGTTCAGGTGATCCTCTCGCCTCCACCTCCCAAAGTGCTGGAATGACAGGCATGAGCTACCATGCTGGGCTGAAACACTACGTTTCTTGTGTGAATGTCACTCACCCCAAACGTGTCCTCAGATTATTATTCTGATCTTCAGTGCCATGGTATTTCCAGTTTTCTCCTAAGGAAGAAAAAAAGGAATTTTAAAAATTAATTTTAATATATTCTGTTCACCTCATATTTCTTTCCCAAATATATACTGTACAGGATTTGACCCATTAATTTTAAGTTCAGTGTCATAATATGAAACAAATGTAACAAAATTTACTTTCTTTGGGAATAACTGGTAGGATAAAGGTAAGAAAATAAGCAGAGAAAGCATTCATTTCTTTGCAAATAGTAATAAAAAATAAATTTTATAAGGACTAATGTACTTACAAGCAGAAAAAGATTGAGGAGTTTTAGTTATTTCAGGATTTTGACAATAGTAAGGACCAAAAAAACAAAGTGGTGGACAACGTACTGAAAATACTTTCAAGAAGATTGAGACAAATGGAAACATAAATGTCTTGTCATTAGAAGAGCAACGTGGGGGCCGGGCTCGGTGGCTCAGCCTGTCATCCCGGCACTTTGGGAGGCCGAGGCTAAGAATGAAGGAAGGCTTTCCCACATTCCTTGCATTCATAGGATTGTCTGAGCCCGTGGGTTCGAGACCCGCCCGGGCAACTTGGCGAGACCTCATTTCTACAATAAATCAAAAAATTGGCCGAGCTCCGTGGCTCAGCCTGTAGTCCTGTGCCTTTGGGAGGCTGAGGTGAGTGGATTGCCTGAGCCCGCAGGTTCGAGACCCGCCTGAGCAACTTGACCTCATCTCTACAATAAATCAAAAAATCAGCCGGGCGTGGTAGCACGCGCCTGTAGTTCCAGCTGCCTGGAAGGCTGAGGCGGAAGGATGGCCAGAGCCCAGCGGGCCGAGGCTGCGGTGGCTGGGAGCGGCCACTGCACTCCGGTCTGGGCGACAGAGTGAAACTCCGACTCAAGAAAAAAAAGAAACAAAGAAAAGCAACATGGGAAGGAAGTAGACACATGTTTATCCCCAAATCCCAACTTTAGAAGAGGACAAGGACATGGAAGGGAGCCAAGGGTTCTGCCAAATCCAACTTCCTCAGTAGAAGCTTTTGCTTGTAATAGTATTTTGCCGGCTAATATTTTGCGATGGAACGTGCCTCAACAAGGGCTGGCCCACGAAGGCAGATTCTAACCCTTCGGGAGGCCAAAAGCATTGAAGAGAAAAAGTCGAGGGTTTCTTTGGAGTCACAGTCTCACGCTGCCACCAGCTGGAGAGCACTGGCATGATCACGGCTCACTGCAGCCTCGACGTGCTGGGCTCTGGCGATCCTTTCGCCTCAAGCCACGGATGTCATACCTCCACGAGAAAGCCACCAGACGGTGCGGTCTGTAAGTAACACGACCTCGTCTGTCTTACCTACCAGTGACTTCCCATGCTTCAGCCCAGATCCTGGCATGAGCTGAACAGCTATGCAATACGTGTCCTGAAGATGACTAAGTGAAGCAACAATGTCCTTACCTACTGAGGCCAGGTTCCGGAAGGTCTCTAGCATCACCTCTCGGTAGAGGCTCCTCTGAGCACGACTCAGCAAAGCCCACTCCTCTGGGGTGAAGTCCACAGCCACATCCTTAAAGATCACTGCGTCCTGAAACAGCCAATCAATTCGGGTCGACAGGAACCCTTCTCCGCCCGCGTGAGCCTGAGGGAGGGCGCGGCTGAGCGCACAGCACTGGGGAACGCACGCTCAGCCGGCCTCAAGTTCGCACGTGGTTCTGTGGTTCCCCCGTAAGGCCTAAGGCTGCACCTCCCTGTCACGTGCCCTTCAGTGCTCCCTGCTGCAGACCCCATCCTGCCCCAGGGAGCTGACGGCATCGCTTATGAACTTCTCTCTCTCTAGTTCGACTGGGAATACTTCCGCCCTTCCACGGTTCCAGAACAGACCACAGCACACCTGAGAAGTGCGAGAAACCCTGCACAGATGAAGCCCTTCTTCCCCCTCTGAAAACCTGGATTCCAGCCGGGCTCGGTGGCTCAGCCTGTAATCCCGCACCTGGAGGGCTGAGGGGAGTGGATGGCCTGAGTTCAAGACCCGCCTGGGCAACTGGGCGAGACCTCATCTCTCCAATAAATCAAAAAATGAGCTGGGCGTGGTAGCACGCGCCTGTAGTTCCAGGTCCTTGGAAGGCCGAGGCGGAAGGATGGCTGGAGCCCAGCAGGTCGAGGCTGAGGTGGCCAGGAGTGGCTACTGCACTCCAGTCTGGGCGACAGAGTGAGACTCCAACGCAAAAAAAAAAGAAAGAAAGAAAGAAAGAAAACCTGGATTCCTTGTGAGGAACACGATCTCCGGCCCTGTCTTCCCTAGAAGAATGCTCCTTTCTGCCTCAGAAGAAAAGTTCTGCTGTAGAACTGAAGCTAACTGAAATGCAGAGTAGTCTGGCTGTGAATTTGCCAAGATTAGAACATGTGGCTCACACCTGTAGTTCTGGCATTTTGGGAGGCCGAGGCGGGAGAATTACTTGAGCCCAGGAGTTTGAGACCAGCCTCAGGAACAATACGAGACTTCTTCTCTCTATCAAAAAATTAGCCTGGCATGCTGGCACATGCCTGAGTCCCAGCTACTCAGGAGGCCGAGGTGGGAGGATCACCCGGGCCCAGAAGGTTGAGGCTACGGGGGAGAACATGATCACGCCACTGCACTCCAGGGGAGGCAACAGAGACCCCATTCAGAAAAAAGTATGCATAAAGGTACCGGGTGGCACCTTCCTCCAAAAGAACACCCACTCGCACCTGAAAATTCAGCGGTACTGACTCAGGTACCAGCCTCCTGGGGGCCTGCACACAGCATTTCCACACCTCTGGATGTGCAGACGAGCGTAACTTCCCCAGCCCTGAGTGTGAGACCAATGGGCCTCAGGATCCTCAAAGTCTGGCCTGAGAAAGCACGCCATGCCCTTGGCTTTCACACGCGGGGGGATAATACAGGCCACCAACTGCAATACGGGGGCCGCAGTTAGCCTGTGCCACAGACAGCAGCAGGACCGGAATGCTCCAGAATGGAACACTCTGCTTGTGAGGTCAGCAACGGAAGTCAGCTGCCCGGGCAGCCACTGAGAACTTATAGAGGAACACCTGTGACTGTGTGCCGATGAAACTTTACCGCATAGGTGACAGGCTGGATTTGGCCTGTGGATGGTCGTTGGCCACTTCTTGATCTAGAGAAGTACCAGCCAACAGGAATAATGCAGATCACCGATATAATCCACATTATAAATAGGATTTTTTTCTTTTTAATAGAGACAGGGTCTTACTGTGTTGCCCAGGCTTGTCTCGGACTAGTGGCTTCAAATGATCCTCCTACCTCAGCCTCCCAAAGTGCTGGGATTATAGGCATGAGCCACTATGCCCAGCAAAGAAAGGAGTATTGACATCAACTTTAATAGTGTATTTGACTTTACGCACAAAATAATACAAATGTCATTTCAACATGTTCCCAGTAATTGAGATATTTTATATTTTTTTGTCACACGAAGTACTCCATGTCTGGTGTGTGTTTCACACCCAGAGCCCAGTTCAGTTGCGACTCGCTGGATTTCAAATGCTCAGTAACCGCATTGGGCTATCAGCTGCTGCCCGGGACAGAGCAGGTCTAGCCCCTGCTAGGTCCTGCATAGAATAGAAAGTTGAAATTTCTCTTCAGACGGCCTGGGCTCCTGGCACAGCCCTCTGTCCCAAGCAAGTTGCTACTCCATATACCTATAACGCTCTGGCTGAAATTTATTTAATTTAATCATTTGCTGAAATCTATGTAGGTGACACTCAAACAATTCCCACTACACTCATACAGTGGGAGAGACACAACACTTAAAAGGACTCTGATGCATAGGCATCTTCATTCTTAAGGGAAGAACAATAAATCAGATTTTGCTAACAACGTAAGTGCTGTGAATAAAATACAGGACTGTGAGGGCCTGTAGACCGAGAAGTGCATGAGCAGCCAGATCAGGGCAGAGTGAAATCAAAACATGAAAACACCCAGCTCGGGTCACGTCATGGAAACCTGGATTTCGGTTTTTAATGTCACCGCCATGTGTCAAGTCTCAAGAACTAGAAACACAATGTTGTGATTTCACAGAAATCTCAGGACAGTTCCCAAGTGCTTGTCACCTGCACCAGTCCCAAATGGGAGACACGGGAATCAAAGAAATGGGGCCCAGGAGGCGCTGACATCACAGGACTAGCCAAGGGCAGAAACAGGACACCTGAAAAGCTGCAGAGGGCAGCAGGAAGGGGCTAAAAGTGAACCCAAAGGCTTGGAAAATGAACAGTCACAAAAAGGAAAGAAGTCGAAAGCAGACTTAGTATGGAAAAGCGGCTAAAATAGATGTCTTTTGAAAGCAAATCAAGTTGCCCATCGAAGCTGGACTGGATAAAGAAAATGGGGCACGTACACGATGGAATATCATGCAGCCATAAAGAAGGACAAATGTACGGACTTCGCAGCCACTTGGATGGATCTGGAGTCGATCAGACTCAGGGGTCTCTCACAGAAACAAGGAACAGAGGACCCTAACTTCTCACTGATCAGTGCACCTTGAACAATCATCATTCTGTAAGAAAGCATTTGCAGTAGTGGGAAACTGCCAGGGGAGGGGGCGTGGGACTGGCAGTTGAGGGAAGCTGCTAGGGGAGGGAGGGGCACACCTCATCCACAAGGGCACCTGCATCATCAACGTTTGTATACCTAACCCTGAACTGTGCCCCACATCTTTGTAATAAAAAAAAAGAAGGTTCGAGACCCGCCTGGGCCGCGAGACCTCATCTCTACAATCAATCAAAAAATCAGCCGGGCGTGGCAGCGCGCGCCTGTAACTCCGGCTGCTTGGAAGGCGGAGGCAGAAGGATTGCCGGAGCCCGGCAGGTCGAGGCTGCGGTGGTCGGGAGCGGCCGCTGCACTCCAGTCTGGGCGACACAGTGAGACTCCAACTCAAAAAACAAAAACAAAAACAAAATCAGTGTCTGACTTATATGAAGATAGTAACCTGGCTTTGCTTTAGCTTTTCTTTCTTTTTTTTTGAGTTGGAGTCTCACTCTGTGGCCCAGGCTGGAGGGCAGTGGCCGCTCCCGGCCACCGCAGCCTCGACC